GACCCCAGAGACCCCTCAAACCATCTACCCTTAGAACCCCCCAAACCCCCCAAAGGCCGCAAACACCGCAAACACCCCAAACCCCCCAAACCCCCCAAACCCCCCAAACCCAACCCCCCAAACCCCCTAAGCCCTAGACCCCCTTCAGCAACCCACCCTAAACCCAAACCCCCCCAAAACCCCAAACCACCCTCCACACCCCCCCCCAAAAAAAAAGACAAATAAAACACCCCAAACCACCCCTCCCCAAAAAATAAGAAATAACAAACAAACCACCCTCAAAAAAAAGAAAAAGACACCCCCCCAACCCCCACCCCAAACCCCCTAAACCCTAAACCCTAAACCCTAAACCCTAAACCCTAAACCCTAAACCCTAAACCCTAAACCACCCCGCCCAAATGACCGCTCTGGCGCCACCTTCCGGCTTCCAGCGCCCGGCGCTGGCGCACCGAGCTCCGGAGGCGCCAACCCGAGTGGGGGTAGGGCTTCGGGTTTAGGGTTTAGGGTTTAGGCTTTAGGGTTTAGGGTTTAGGGTTTAGGGTTTAGGCATGCCTTTTGAGGGTTTAAGGGGTGTTTCGGGCTTCGGGAACCCTAGGTTCAGGGTTTGGGGTTTGGGGCTTAGGGTTTAGGCTCTGAAAACGCGGGGGTGCTTGGGGCCTGGGCTTGGGGTTGTGTGCGCGAAGTAGGATCCCTTTGATGCACGTTTCTCCTCCCGTGTGCAGAGTTGTGGAGTTTGGGGGTTCCTAGAAACAGTCCCCCTTCTTGGGCCTGTTTTCGGAAACACCCAGGTAGGTGCCCTTGTAAGCCCAAATAGCCTCAAATAGCCCCAGAAGCCACGGATTGCGTCACTATTTCTGGGTCCGGGAGAAGAACCTCGGACTCCAACCAGATACCTGGAGGTGCGCGGGCTCTCAAACCCTCGATCCTCCATAAAACGCCATCTCAAACCTCGCTTTCTAGGTTGACAAGTACGGACCCCGGGCCTACTCTTGGCAGAATATAGGAACCAATACAGATTCGACACATCCCTAGGCAAAAAGAAGGGCCACTGAAAATCCTCCGTTCCAGTACTAAAATTGCCACTTTGATTGTGCCCCAAACCAGGTCCTGCAGTGAGACTACTATGATTTCTAGCAAATCTTAGTGGTGTTATTAGTAGTACTGGTGTTACTGGGATTACTATTATTTGCTAGCATTACTGTTACTACGGCTATAATTATCACTACCAGTATTATGTGTAGTACGCTTTCTATCACATTAATACAATTAATGTGGTTAAGGCTTTTCTTTTGTTTTGTTGTGCTTCTTTTTCTGGTGCTTGGTTCAAGTGTCACCCCCTAAACCGTAAACCCCTCTGAACCCCCTAAACCCTAAGGTTTAGGGTTTAGGGCTCAGGGTTTAGGGTTTCGGGTTTCGGTGTAGAACCTAAAGTTGCAGGGGAACTCCGGATCCCCGCGCCCGCTGCTCCTGCGCCACGGCCGCGGAAGCAGAAGGGTCTTGAAGGGGTCTGAAACTTACTGGTTTTTGGTACTGTAGGGGAGAAGCTCCGCAACAAAACAGCGTAGCAAGCCGCGAAACGCAAAGGCAAGCACGGAAGTCAGAATTCCCCCAGCTAAGGAATGAAGTGATCTTGCTCCGAGTCGCCTGGCTCCCAGCACAGGCTTCTCCATGGTGCTTTTCAGTCTGCCTGACCCGTGTGAGATCGCCGGAAGTTTGCTCTCCACCTTGGCTCAAGGTCTCGCAGAGGTCTCGAAGCATGCCACTCTCCCTAAAGCCTGAATCCCGAAGCAGGGGCTTGCAAGAAAACCCTTGCAAACTCAAGCTGCTGATCCCCCCAAGGTTGCAAAAACACCCTCCATCCCTGCGAACTAAACCGGCATTCTTGGGGCGCTCTTTCCATGGCTTTGCCTTCCGAGACACGTTGAAACTTTCAACTGCTTGGGTAGACAACCAGACTAAGGCCTGAAAGTTTATAAGCTTTGTTTGGGCATGCCAAGCACAAGAAAACGTTTACAGACGAAAGCTTGAACTTTACTTCGCCAGGGTACTGGACACCCCGGTCACCCTAAGCCCCAAACCCGAAACCCCAAAACCCTAAACCCCAAACCCCCCAAAACCCTCAACCCCAAATCCTAAGCCCTCACCCCAAAACCCTTCACCCTCTTTATCCCAAACCCCAACTTTAAACCCCAATCCCGTACATCGCTCCAGAGCTGGATTCAACGCGATGCGCCTTGGTCATGGCCCTTGCAAAGGCTTCCGGCATGGGCATGTCCGGCAGTTCCCGGTAGCCTAAGCCCTAAACCCTAAACCCTACACCCTACCTCATACACCCAAAGATTACAACAGTCCTTATTGGAGCCTCCGACAAGAGCATCCCAAATTTTCAGAAGGCCCCCGCACTTCGCAGGGTTCCCAGGTTCGGAGTTCAAGATCTTTAGGGTTATAGCCTGACGCCATGGTTGCATCGATAGTTGAGCGGGGGATTAGGGTGCAGGGCTTAGGGTTTCAGGGTTTTTAGCGTTTAGGGTTTAGGGTTTGGGGTTTAGGGCTAGGGTTCCGACGTATTTGGGCAATACTCCCCCCCTGAAGCCCAAAAAAAACGAGCTTGCTGAGCAGCTGCGTCATGTCACTTGGACCGGGCTCTCCTGCCTGTAGCTCTGGCGACTTTCTTTATCTGTCTCTACATTGGGGGGGGGGGGGGGGGGGGGGGGGGGGGGGGCGAGGCTTTGAAGGGATTCTCGTCTATTTTGGGGTATAAGAGGGGTGCCCTGTTTTGGGAAATTCCCATGTAAATATATATATATATATATAGACGCATGTGCGTTAGAAGGTTACTTACTGAGAGTAATAAAGATGGTAATAGTATTATGTAGTACTAGGAGTAGAAGGAGGAAACATGGCAACAGAGGTAGCATAGTGAAGCACGCTGTGAAGCTTCTTTGAGGCTGGGTGTCGATCTTTGTTCCCCTAAACCAGTGCGATGATAGCCTTCATGAGAAAGATGGGTTTGGGGTTCAGGGTTTTGCGACGAAAAACATTCAAAGGAAACATTGGAAAGATTCGTTTTGGCTCAGGCTTATCTCCCGTGACAGTTTTGTGAAGAATACAACTAGTACTGTTCTGTATGAAGTATGTTGTTTATATTGTCAGTTTCGAAAAGGCACCTAGATCAATTGTTACTTGGTGTCGACAGTACAGCGGTATTGACCCTTGTCTTCAAGCCTCTGAGTTTTATTTCCCACTGTGCTTCTTTACACCTTGCCAAATCAATAGCTCGTGCAATAGGTTAGTTCTCTAAATTGGGGTCCTTTTTTTGGGTCCCTCTATAGTACGGCACCCTCAATAGAAGGACCCCAAAAAGGACCCTAATTCCTAAACCCTACTTGAAGGTTCATGGTACTTGTCACCCAATTATAACTGTACTTATAACCCACTTAAAACGGCCTTAAGTGACCTGTTGTGGGTATAATCGGGTAATAGTTACAGTTATATACATATATACATATATATGGGTGATTAAGTACCATGAGCCTCTAAGTAGACTACCCAGGTTGAGTGTTAAACCCTAAACCCGAAATCCTAAACCCTAAACCCGAAACCCTAAACTCTGAACCCTAAACCCTGAACCCTAAACCCGAAACCCTAAACTACCCAAGTTCGGTCTTAAAGCCTGCAATGGGTAGCAGGTTGCGGCTCTCCTCCTTGCAACGGCCCTCTGCCAAGAGAGCTCCATATGGCAACTGCGGCCGCAATGCGGTTTGGGGTTTGGGGTTTGGGGGTTTGGGGGTTTAGGGTTTAGGGTTTGGGGTTTAGGGTTTAGGGTTTAGGGTTTAGGGTTTAGGGAGCCATAATCGGACCCTTCAGGATGTACCCCTAGGAGATGGCCCTTAATGTACTCCCAGCATGGCCCTTATATTCCCCGAGAGGATCTTTAAGAACGGTCCCCAAACCCGAGGGTACAACCTGAGAGGGGTCCATCGTAGAATCCCATGATGAGGGGGGGGGGGGGGGGGGGGGGGGGGTAGGGATCAGGCCTGCTGGGCGCGTAGGGGTGCTTGAAGGAGCCTCGGCACTTCTGAGCCTCCAGCAGCAACGTCGAAGCCACGGTTTTCAAGCCACCCGAAACCCGAAACCCGAAACCCTAAACCCTAAACCCTAAACCCTAAACCCTAAACCCTAAACCCTAAACCCTAAACCCTAAACCCTAAACCCTAAACCTAAATGCATCTGAGGACCTATCCCATGGCATGGCCTGCCTGGAATGCCGCTTGGCTCTGCGTTCTGGAGGATACAGGTTTTAATGGTTTGGGTTTGAGGGTTTAGGGTTTCGGTAGGGTTTTGGGTTCAGAAGATGTTGGGGGGATTCTTAGGCTTTTCCTCTCCCAAAGCCTCTTGCGGACTCCAGCCCTAATCCCTAAGATGATCAGAGGGCCATTTAGCTCATCTTGTGGGCTACGATCCTAGCACTGGGGGGGTGGGGGGGCGGGGGTTGCCAAACTTATGGTATCAATTTTTGGAGTCTGAAGTTTCTATTTGGGGTATACAAGAAGTGCTCCCATCTTGGAAGCTACCCATGCTTACAGGAGCCTCATACTCTACCTGCCGAAAAGACGCGCATTTGTGCTGAACAGGTGCTCACCGGCGGCAAGTTCGCGGACGTGGACGTCCGACACTTTTGCTTCATCAAGTAGTACATGAATTCAACAATAGACTTCTATATTAATATACTCATATACGAGTACAATAGCACAAGAAAAGTATTATACTGTAACAATGTAATAACAATAGTAATAGAAATAGACTACCATCATGAATAGTTCCATCATGAATAGTTATATACTAAGAAAACATTTCAACAAAACGAAAGTACAGGAGTAGTAGAATATGATCGTAATCATACGATATCACAACCATATAGCAATCTGTTAACATAATATACCAATCTACCACTCTAACAATCTGATAATCTGATCGCTCCTTAAAGCAGTTCTGAAAAAATGCTGGGAACCTTGTTTTCACCTTGGGAAGCAAGTGTCTCAGGACAAGATCCGAGCTGCGCCGCCTGGCTGGCATGAGGGCTTAGGGTTTCGGCTTTAGAGTTTAGGGTTAGGGTTTAGGGCTTAGGGCTTAGGGTTTAGGGTTCAGGGTTTAGGGTGTGGGGGTTTGGGGTTTCGTGTTTCGGGCATTTCAGAGCCCAGCTGCTTGTCGACGTGTCCGTGAGCAAATAAGCCCGGCAGCGAACCTCGTGGTCGTCCAAGTCTTTCACACATCGCAACCCCCAACTGCGGTCATTCTGGGACTAGTGGCTGGGTTTCATCAGCTGTCAGGCATTTGCAGTTTCAACGCGTGGCCCAGTCCACAGAATCACAACCGCAGCGATGTACCCAGATCTAGCACGCAGAAGCACCAACGTAGAACCCTGTGCTGCGAGAGGTAGTTCACAGGAATCCTTACTTCCTGGATCCTCCCGAACGTCTGGGCAAGCAGTGGCACCTAAAAACAAACAATATGTTCTACAAACATTCGGATATACATATATATATATATATATACATATGTATGTGTGTATATATATATACTTCACATGTTATACTGTGTGTATATGTATATATGTGTATTTGTTGGTACGATGAGACATTATAGTATGTTCTGGACTTGGGGGGGGGTCGTGCCGAGGATACCTTGCCGCGATCCCCAGTGGACTGGGCGGCTTTGAGGCCGCATACTTTCGGGCCCACTTACGTGGCATGGGTGATATTACTTGTTGACAGTATGATTATTGCGGTATAGCAAAAACGCGTATATTGAACGATTTTATGCTATTTTATACTTGTTTGGTTCTAGCACAGTATATCATAGTCAAGCATGTTGTATTATTGTTTCCTTATGTTACAATGTTTTATTGTCCCTCGAGAAGCCAAAGGGGTCCCGCAAGATTGGGTTCATCCAAATGTGCGGATGCTGCTTCAATTGAAGGTTCATCGGCAGTTACAAGTAAGGTCATAAGTACCCTAGATGAGGTTTTAGCCAGTTATATGTATAGTTACCCTACGTATAACCCCACTTGTAACTACCCATGAACTTCACCCCCATGTAGGGTTTGGCGTTTGGGCATGAAAGGCACCGCGTCGCCGGCTGCCCGGTCTTCATCGATGCCTTGGCAGCCAAGGACATGGCCCCCCCCCCACCTAGCTACCTTAGCCCTAAAGGCGACATAAACCCCCTCCACCCAGTTACCTCAGCCCTTAAAGGCGACATAAACCACCACCTCGTACCTCCGGCCCCCCCCCCCCCCCACGTTTGCTTGACCGTTTCCTGCCCCCCTGTAATTGTCCTAACGGCCACTAGTGTACCCTAAACCCTAAACCCTAAACCCAGTGCAATAGAAACCGTCGAAGAGGTTCGGACCCCCCTCAACATAAGACAGAGTTCGCCGACGCCGGTGTCGATCGTTGGGGCATCACGGGACAGTGTCTTGTTCTGCCCGTCTTCTCTTTTGGGCGTGCAGCGCCTGACAAAAAGATGAGCTCAACATCAGTCTAACACAGCCATCCTTAAAGACAGGAAAAGGGTGTTTTTTTCTGGTCTGCGGCCACCCACTGACCCAGATAAGGTCCCTCGCAGATGAATGGGGTTGAGGGGAGGGGGGTCGAAATGCGTGTGCTGACCACCTGCGGAGTTTGGCAGCGCCAGGACAGCAAAGACTCTGCGCGCCGCGCCTTCCAACGAACGATTAGCATGGACCGGGCTTCCTGGCTGACTCACGGACTGCAACGCCCTAAACCCTAAACCCTAAACCCTAAACCCTAAACCGGTTCGCTGTTTTGTGGATTGGGTTTAAGGGTTCGTTGCTTGAAGCATCTTCAGACCACTGAGCAAGCTTGCGCAAACTAGCTCAACCAAGAGCAGAGCTGCCCCCAGAGAAAAGCCACCCACACACACACACATACACACACACACACCGCATCCCCCCGGCGCCATAGGTGGAACAGGTTCTTATTGCGAGTTGACCAGGTTTAGAAGGCCAGGCCGCAGGACATTGCAGCCCGGAGGTACAATTATGGAATTAGGTACCCAATAAGCATACTAAAGAGGGTCTTGCGGTACCTGATTCCAGAAGAGTACTACACATGGACCCTCCGGGTCTCTTGGATGACTTCAGTCCACCATGAACCTCCCCTTATGGACTAAAACCCCCAAAACCCTAAACTCTGCAACCGCCCCAAAAGCCCTAAACCCGAGACCATGGCTCTCATCTGTGGCTGTCCCGGCCCTCGGGAAACAGACCTGCACCTAAACCTACGTTCCGTTTAGCTGGTTTTTTTTAAATGCTTGCCATGCGCATCCAACTGTCTTTTGGTACAGCGGGAAAAGCGTCGGGGCGCGCGTTGGCGCAGTCGTCAGGCGATCACCGAAGGAGGGGTCTAAGTTGAGGTGCTGTTTGAGGCCTAAGAAGTCTCTTCTGTAGCCTTCCGTTCGTGGGGGGGCGGAGTGGTCTAGGTGGTAGTTGAGGTAGCGTATTGCTTCTGAGGAAACCAGTTCGAACCAATACCTTGCGGGGTGTCCGCGAGATTTGGACTTGGTGAACTTAATTCTATCCTTATATCCGGGGGAAAAGACTACGTGGTGCTGCGGCTTGTCTGGCGGAGTGGTAATTGATTGGGTGAGGAGTTTAAATTGACTGGACAGTAAGGTTTGAGATGGTAATACTGGCCTACCAGCGCATTTCCAAACTCTCTTATTGGAGATCCTGGAGTAATATGAGGATTTGATTTTCAGGGCTCTTCTGAGGTATCTGAAGTACCATCCATCGATAGTTTTGAAGTGGGTCTTTTCTAGGGTGAGGGTGGAGAGTCCATGGAGGTATGAGGGTACTATACAAGAATGGAAGATCCTAGATTTAACTTTCCAGGGAAGTCTGCTTTGCCATACGTGTTGTAGTTTAAGGAAAGAAACATGCGCTTGTTGGGCTCTAGCTTGCAGGGCTGCCTTGGACGGTTTTTCCCATGTTACCTGGGAACCGAGATATTTGACGGACTCCGTGATTTAGCTGGTTTAGGGTTTAGGGTTTAGGGGGTGGGGGGGGACCTGTGATGAGGGGACCCTGTTCATGGCTTGCTTATGATTTGCTATCGTCCCCTTAGGACCATGATCCTGGGGGAGTTTAGGGTTTAGGGTTTTGGGTTTAGGGTTTAGGGTTAAGGGTTAGGGTTTCGGGTTTAGGGTTTGGGGTTTACGGTTTGGGGTTTGGGGTTTAGGGTGTAGAGCTTCATGCAATGCAGGTATGGCAGCAGGCAGAGGCAGCCTCCAACATCGACATCCGCTTCTCCAGCCATCAGCACGACTGCTACTTAGGCAGCGGCCCAGCGTACTTTCTCCAGTGAGCATGACCTCGCTTCCCCCAACTTTGAATAGAAAGACATCAGAGTAGCCGATGTGATAGTTATAGGGTCCATGTTTTTGCATGTTTTTGGGGGGTTGGTGGAATCTAAGGGTAGTTCAATGTCCCTCAATATGGTCCCTTACTGCCTTGAACGGGTTAGGGCTATATAAGGGGTTTTCCCTTTGAAAGGTTATTATATAAGGGACCATGTAACCTTAGAGTGTAAACAAATACCCCCCATCCAACCCTAGATCCCACACCTCGGACCGTTGCGAATGAGCCCTATGACCACACAACCCTAAGCCTTTTCAACCCACGGAACAAGTCGTCCCTAAACCCGAACTTACTACAGCCTCACGAATGACCAGCATGATCCCCTACTTCACCCCTATCTACCCCTCCACATTCAGCCCGATGCCCCTGGCAGGAACCCTGGCCTATGTGTTCTGCACCTCGGCAGGCAGACAGGAGGCATTCGGGTTTTACGGTAGGCTTCGAACATTGTGGGCATCTTGATGCCTTACTAGCCCCAGTACACTGGACGCCTAAGTTTTGGACAGAACGTCGTTTGCACAACTGATGACAAAGCTGCTTGCTGCACATGGGCAATCAGAATCAGTGAGTTCCTAAATCATGCAACTTTCCCTTTATGCCTCAAAGGCCCTGCACATACTTCTCCTTGTACCTTCCCAAAGCCCTTTCCTGTGAACCCTAATCTCTAAGCCGCCTTTCTGAAGAAACCCCGCCTACCCGCAGAAACTTAAACCCGAACCCTAAACCGCAAACCCTAAACCCTGAACCCTAAACCCTAAACCCTAAACCCTAGACCCTCAACCGCAAACCAGGCCAACATCTGAATGGCATGGCTGCAGCTATTGAGGATGGGGTCACGGGCAGCGAGGCCTGCCGACGGACATTCAGAACTCACTTTCTAGGACCCAGAGGAGGCCTTCAGTCCCTTTTTGTTGGGGGTTTAGGTTCCCTAATCATCCCCCTTAAAACCAATAGAAGTGCACCCTTTTATTCCTAGGTTGGGTCTAGCTTCGAGAATGCTGTCTCGGGCTTTTGGGGTCTGGGTGAATCCAGGGCCAACATCCTTGTCGACGAGGCAAGCTCATTCAGGAACTCCTTTGAGCATAAGCCCTTCCCCCTAATATTAAAGTACTCCCAATTATAGTGTTTTTGGAGTATATATGGCGGGGGGGGGGGGTAATTGGTACGGGTGTTTTTGATATTAGGGGGAGGGAGGGGATTAAGCTGACGGAATGAGCACTACCAGATTACCTCCTTTCACCGTCTGAAACAGCAGTGTAGTCCACTGGGCGTTATGGATTTCGGTTTAGGGTTTAAACCTTTATAAGGTAAGGTAGTGCTGCGGCATGTGCAACATGTGCGGTCACTTACTGGCTTCCTTTTATCCACGAACCCCCCCCCCCCCGAGTTGATTTGTCCCGCGGCCTGTCCCAAAGCAGGGTTAAGGGGTTTGGGGTTAAGGGTGTTTGGGTTCAAATTTAAGGTTCAGGGTTTTAGGGTTTAAGGCTCAAGTTCAAGGCTGCGGGGTTTAGGGGGTAGGGATCACAGAGGAGTGGATGCAACACTACTTGACTCTCGGCTGGATTGCGCCAGGAGCCTGGAAAGTCACCGATGTTATCCCATGTATTTTCCTGTAGAGATCTATTCGCAGAACCTTCATGCTCTTATGCTCTTACTGATGGGAGATTTTGGGTAACGACAGAAATTCTCGGACTTTTTTTAAGTTGTTCGGTTTCCCAATTGCAAGGTGCCAATAATTGAGAGCTTGCTGCTTGAGAAGCATCCTGAAGCAGGATTCTTCTGGTGAACGGGAAAGGTTGAGCGTTTTGGGTGTGAGGGTTTAGGGTTTAGGGTTTAGGGTTGAAACTGATCACAGAGTCTGGGGAAACCGAAGGAGACATTGAGGAGGTGTGGAGGTTTGCTTTGTGTGGTTTCTGTCGGGGAGCCTTTGACAAGCTTGCAGCAGCCGAGGAAGCTCAATCTTGAGCTTGAGGCAATCATGCAGCCTGGTGAGAACTTTCAGAGAATACGCCAGGCCTGATTCCCTGCATGATTATACTAAATTCACACCCACTTATATTAAGGCCCTCCATGGTTTCATCAACCTCTCAGGGACGTCTCTTTCCAATAAAGGTTCTTGCCTTTGGTCCGTTAGTTCACCCCATGGCTGTCTCCAGAACGAGGGGTCCCTTTCCTAGAAAGCCTTTTGAGTCTTAAGAAGCCCTCATCCCCCCGTAAGATTGAATCCCCCCCCCTATCCCCTACTATCAGTACAGTGGGAGTATTCAATTTTCGGGGGCAGGGATGGGTTTGGGGTGTAGGGTTTAAACCCTCAAAATCCTGAAGCCCTATAAGCTTTAAGAGGCCCACTAGGACCCCGGGGTAGGCCCTTATTTCCGTTTTTTAGGGTTCGGGTTCCCTCAAAATCCCCTTAAGACCCAAAAAGGCGCCCTTTTGATTCCTAGCTTATTCCTGGGTCACCCTAAACCCTAAACCCCAAATACCCTAAACCCTAAAAACCCTGAAGGCCCTATAAGGTTTTAAAGAAGCCTAGGGTTTAGGGTTTAGGGTTTAGGGTTTAGGGTTTAGGTGGCCCAGGTTCCACATGGAGCTGCCCTGGTCTCTGCTCATCCGCTCGCGCTTCCGCTTCGGGCCCCTGCTGACGCGCCTGTCGCGCTTTGTGAAGGAGGCCGGGGATATATGGGGGGGGGAGCGTCTTCCCTAATCCCTAACCCTAAACCCTAAACCCTAAACCCTAAACCCTACCCAGTTTGGGAGATTCCCTTCAAGCGCAGGCTAGCCTCGAAAGCCACAGAGTCACGCCCCCGAACCGTTCTCCTGTCTTACCAGGCTGGCAGAGGCGAACCCAGCCGACACTTGGCTTGGGTGTAGGGGTTAGGGTTTAGGGTGTAGGGTTTAGGGTTTAGGGTTTAGGGTTTAGGGTTTAGGGTTTAGGGTTTAGGGTTTAGGGTTTAGGGTTTAGGGTTTAGGGTTTAGTTCCTGCGAGGCGCCCCTTGCATCTGCTTTGATGGCATCAATCACCTCCCTAAAGCCCTTGGTAGCCCCGTGGTACCCTTTTGCCCCTTTTTTGGTTCAACTAGGACCCAGAGTAGCCCCTCATTCCTTTCTTTTAGGGTTTAGGTTTCCTTGAAAGCCCCTTTAAACCAAAAAGGGCACCCTTTTTTATTCCTAGGTTTCTCTTGGGTCTAGTCAAGGTTCCACTTTTAAAATGTCCAACCCAAAAAACGGCCCCCGTATCATCGTATGGTTACTGGCAGACACAGAGAACAATGTGCGTTTGAGAAGAGGTGCCAGTTGTGAGTTCATTTTAGCTCATTTCTTGCGATTCAGGTCGATGACTATGGCAGACTCCGCATGTGTGGAATTGGTTCTTCCCCCAGGAAGAGGGGCACCAACCCCCTTTGTACCCAAATATACTAGAATTCCCTTAAGGGACCCCCCAAAAAGGGTATGATGCAATATTCCAATGTACAACTCTATAATATATTGCAATACCATGACATTGTATTGAGTCATAATATGATATTAAGCTCTCAAATAGCTCCAATTACTGAACGAAAACGAGGCCCACCCATGGAGTTGACAGCTTCACAACCCTCCGCCGAGGATGCGATGAGAACGACTGGCCCGAGGACACAGAGCTCCTTGGCAAACCACAGCATCCCCCGCAGAGGGCATCCCTACTTTGCGTCAGGCTTCAGGATTTTCAATAGCCCCCCCCCTAGGACTTTTTGTATTTACATCAACCCCAAGGGAGTATTTAAAACAGTCTTGTTCATTCAGGGTCTAAGGGGGGTAAAGTTTCGGCTAAAGCCGTCTCCGCCATGCGAGACCATCCTCTTGGTCCCACCCTGGAACCCGAAAGCCTACAACCGCTAAGCTTAGTTGTGGAGCAGGTAGCCTTTGATCTTTTAGGGTGATTTACCCCCTTTATAAATCCCGAAGGTTAACCTTTAGTTGCCTAGGTACTGGACCACTAGGTAAACCCTCCTGAAGCCAGGTGGGCTTGAACCCAGGCGGGGGTAGGAGGGTGTAAGGCAGGGGGGAGCGGTGTAGGTGGGAAAAAAGGGTGTACAAATGGATTAAAGGGAGCAAAAACCCTGGCAGTCGTCTCTAGGTAGGCCGTAAGGGTTCTTCTCCAGATTAACTTGCAAGGGATCCCTCGAAAGCCTGCGACAACATGGCCCAGGCTTCTGAAACATGCGGATGAGTCGGGCCTGCTTCCGGTCAACACCGCGGAGACGCTCGGCCAAAGGGCCCCAAACCCCAAACCCTAAACCTCAAAGGATGCCAAAAAAGGAGCCACAGAGGCTCGCAGCAGCGTTCTACAAATTACAGTCGGGGGGGTGGGGGGGGGGGGTAGGGTTTAGGGGTACAGGGCCCTTATGGCGAGATGCTAACCCCAAACCTTAAACCTTAGACCCTAAATCCAAACGACCGGCTTTGTTGAGGGACACAGGTTTCAAGTCTCAGCTGGGATCAAGCCTGGGGAGGAACGTCCCCCCCGCCTTTGTAGCACGGGGTTGATTTGGGGGTTTGGGTTTGTGTGGGTTTGTGGATAAGAGCTCTCCTTTTCTTTCATTTTGTTGTTATTATTTTTCAGTTTGGCATTCTTTTGGGGGGAGGGGGGGCGGTCCTGAATAAGGGTTCTACTATTCAGGGGACTTGTATTTGGGAACTCATGTTAGCCTCTCAAATCCCTGTTCAATCCCTGTTCAGCCCTATGTCACCCACCTGCTATTTGCTTAAGAACCCCGTAACAAAAAATGCCAAAAACATAATGCCCTTATGAAATATGAATTTTTGCGGGGGTCTTAAGTAAACCGTAGCCACAGCAGTTGAAATTTTACGGAGCCGAACCACCCCAAGGTTCTCCCCCAAATACCATACAACTACGCCGAGGAAAGCTTCAGTCTGAGAAGTGAAAGTTTTCGGCGCACTAAACAACGCATACCTCATGGCACACTTAGGGTTTTTGGGGTGGGGGAGCAATCTCTATCCTCCATATAGACACTTCTTCCGTAGAGCACCCCACAATTTGAATCCTATACCCTAATCCCTAAACCCTAAGTAGGAGCCTTGGGAACCTACCATGTCCCTGCCATCTCAGGGTATTCATGGCCCAGCACGGCCGGCCGAAAGCTTGGGAAGGACGCCACTGCACAGTCACGCATGTACGCGCACCCACACGGAGTTTAGGGTTTAGGGTTTAGCGTTTAGGGTTAGGGTTTAGGGATTAGGGGTTCAACTACGGGTTGCTTCAGAACCCCCAGAAATATAAGAATGTTCTTCCGTATAAGGGTAATACGGGGAGGAGTTTTTTGCGGGGGTTCTTCAGCAAATGGTAGGCAATTTCCCTGCAAGGGGCCCTCGCTCTCACTTCCGTATGTATTTCCTATACATTCATATCTGTATGCTTTTGGTTTTATGCCCTCGAAAAACATGTATCTAACTCGCCCTCCGAAACTCTGCACGTCAGCTGACCGAGTCATAAGGGGACTACAACTATGGGCCCCCAACGACCCTGGATCCCCAGTTTAGGGTTTAGGGTTTAGGGGGCTTACTTCTACTTCCCCCTACATCTTCTATGTATGAGCAACAAACAAAAGCATCTGCACGCCTGAAAAACAAGTCCATAGTCCCATAAATATGTAGAAAGCCCCAGGCGCTCAAACCCTGAATCCGAAACCCTAAACCATCCAAGACCCTGAAGAAGGCCCTGGGGTTTTCGCTTGCAATCATGAAACAGTACGAGAATAGAACAATACAGCAATATAACCATAAATTCATGAAACATTACAAGAGAGCAATAATAATTACAGGTGATAGAATACCGTAATATCACGTACGAATACATCCTGAACCCTAAGCCCTCAGCCCGAAACCCTAAACCCTAAACCCTAAACCCTGAGCCCTACCCTGCGAGCGGGCCCTTGAAGCCCGCCTTGAAAAGGCCACGATGCCGCCTTCTACGGCCGCTGCCCTTTCAGCCTTGCGGCCGCTGCGCTGCGCCTTCGCTGTTTTGGGCAAGGGTTTGGGGTTTAGGGTTTTGTGTTTTTAGGGTTTAGGGTTTGGGTTTAGGGTTCAGGCTCTCCTTAAGATGAACTCCGATGCATTAGAAGCAACCGCCGAAAGGTCCTATCTTGCTGGCGAGGTCAGATCGGGCCGCTAGAACACTGCTGTCCTACTTGTTGCCGCCGCACCCTTGAAGGTTTCGGAAACTGAGGGTATATTAAGCAGACCCATTCCTTTTAAGACATCACAACATGGTGTGGCTTTCCGAGGCTGTCCAAACAGCAGCAACTTCTTGGGACTTCCATGTTTTGTTGAGGCAGTGGAGTTTTTAACCCATACACCCTCTTCCCTGGCCATTGTGGGGGAGCAAGTATCAAAGCCGCGCTGCGCAAGGTCCTTGACGATCTGGATCCAAGTCGGCCAGGCCATACTCAAGGGGGCGATAAGGGGGTACTTTAGCTTGCTCAGAGGATTCAGTTTTGGTCATAGAATACTTTAAGCATGTTATACGAGTATAAGAATTACAGGACCGGGGGTTAACACAAACCCGAAGCCCTTGCGGCCGGCCCCTTGATTGGACCCTGCCTTCCCCCTCTGCGACGCGAAGGCCAAAGTTGTGCACGGCCAGATTGGCCGTGCCGTCGAGCCTCTCGAACCGAAGTTCACAGACTTAAAGCCCTGAACCCCTATCAACCCTTAAACCCTAAACCCTGAACCTTGAACCCTCCAATATCCCATACCTAGAATCCTCTTACGGCCCCCCCCCCCTTCTGTACAAGACCCTTCTAAGGCCCCAAACCCGAAACTTAAGCCGCTTCAAGCCCTATGAGCAATACCAATCTCCATCCACTGAGCTCTTGGTGGCCCAGTGGTACCCTTGTTTTGCATGTTTTAGGGTTTAGGGTTTAGGGTTTAGGATTTTTGCTCAAGCTTCCCATATAAAGCAACCAACCCACAAAAGGGCAGTTACCCATATCATAGTATGGCTACTGGGCTAGCAAGCGTTGGGGGTCTCAGGAACAAACTGCCGGAACTGAGACTTTGCCGCCGCAACCTCTCAGCTTCTCCCTTGGTGTTGAGAATTCTTCTGCTGCGAAGGGGGGTTGAGGGGTTGACTTAACACGATGGTCCCCGTTTTTGGCGGGATTTGAGGGGTTGACTTAACACGATGGTCCCCGTTTTTGGCGGGATCTCTAAAAAGGGTATCCAAGCCCAAGGGTACAACCTTCGGGGGCGGAGGTAGAGTCTTGCGATCTTTATCGAGAACAAAAACCTTTGAGTCAAAAATGACCTCCTGGTCCTTAGTATAGAATGAGGGGATGAGGGCCCTATATATACCTTTAAGGGATCGAATTCCTTCATTCCCTACTAAGAACCAGCCAGAAGACGATCCTCCCAGGTCGATCTTGGATCTCTACATGGTGCCCATGATGAGGGCGACTTTTCAGAGAGTCGATTTCGGTATCAGGTTGGAGACTGCTGTTTGCGAAAGGACCCCCCAAAAAGCAAGAATCCCTTATTACCCTTTATAGGGAAGAACATTTGAGTTTTTTTTGGGGGGGGGTTCTTAAGCGAACAGAAGAAGAGAGTGGAAGGATGCCCTCCCTTTCACTGAAGCTACCAGCCAGTTTTTTTGGGACAAGTCACTCGATTGTCTTTGCTGCTTGCTTGCTTGCCAGATCATTTCATACGATCCTGTACCCACGCCGAGGTTTGGGAAGCTCAAACTACGCAATTCTTCTATGCAGCTCGCCCAAGAAAGAACGTGGTTTCTTGACGATCATGGGCTGTACCGGTGATGGAAACCATCTCATCTGCACATTTGTTGGAGACCGCAGACCCTTGTTGCAATCCGCCCCTACAGACCCTTGCAGTTTCCCGCTGCTCGTATAGAGTATCTGAGGAATGTGCGAGCATTAGGGGTCGCGAGTTTTGCCTCTTGCGTCAGTGCGCGGGGCTTCAGACCCCCTAAACCATAAACCCTAAACCCTAAACGCAAAAACCCGTGAACCCCCCCTAAAATCCCTCAACTGTAAGCCCCGAGGACCTCTTTGCCAGCCACTGGCGGCTCTGGGACCTCCTGGAGTTGTTGGACAACAACGCCTGGATGATGCAGCGGGAAGGCAGGGATTTCGGATATGTAAGGGTTTGGGGATTGGGGGGCTTTGAGGGAACTAGGGCTTTAGAGGTTGTTCTTCCTTTTTGTTGTTGTTTTTTGTTTTTTGAGGGGGGGTCTGTGGCGGTGGTGGTGTTGTTTGGTCCTTTCCTTTTTTTGGGGGGGCGGTGATGGTGTTGAAAGGACCCGGTCTTCATGAGCGCCTTGCTGGGCAAGTTTCCCCGCAGCCTTTGTAACTTCATTGAGCTGCTCCTGTCACACGTGTTGCACTTCACGGGTACGTCATAAGTAGCTGCATCACACCTTCAACCCATCCACCCTAAACCCTAAGTGTACTCCTCAAACCCTAAACCCTAAAACCCATGCACCCTAAGCAATAAGTGCACCGCTTAAACTCTAAACTTTGGGATGCTCACCCTGACACGAACAGCCCTTAATGGGACTATAGTACCCCCTATTATAATCCCTATTAAGGACTGTTAGTAAAAGGGGGAAAGCCCCACACCCGACAAACTTCCACTCAGCGCAGAGGCGCAGAGAGCGCCCAGCCTCAGCGCCTTGAAGCACCCTCGGCGCCGAAGCGAAGACGGTGGCTTTAGGGCTTTGGGGTGTAGGGTCTATCCTGGACCCTAAACCCTAAACCCTGCTTTAGGGCTTAAGGTCTTCGGGCTTTAGGTTTGGGGTCTTTGGGAGTCTTCGGGCGTTAGGGTTTAAGGGCTCAGGGTTCAGAGTTTAGGGTCTTTTTCTCGCCACGTGCCGCCAAAAAGCAGAGCTAGTGCAGGCGGATTGACGGAAATTCCCAGAAAAACCCTTATTCATGCAGTTCTTAGTTGTCAGCCCTAAAGACCCAGGCACCCCAGTCCCTTCGAGCAGGCGTGTGCTGCGTCCTGCGTGGGCGCGTGAGGCACACGGAGGACCACCTCAGGCGGAGGGGCGGGGGAGGGGAGGATAGAGTTTAGGCTTTAGGGTGGGCTCGTGTTTGCCGATGTTTTTTTTTCACTTGCAATCGTCAAATCTCTACGGTATGGTATCTTTGTTGCGGGTTGGCGTCACCTTGTATCGCTGCCAAGGTCTTTTGTTTTTAGGGGGAAGGGGTGTCCTTACCGTTCCAAGGCATGACACAAGGGGAGTTGAGGGCTTTGCGTCTCACCCTCAGTTGCAAGATCGCCTCCACGATTCTCCTGCGGAAACTGAACTGTGGCTCAGAGTAGCAACATCCCACGTGGGGCTTACGAAAATAAGGGACCCCTAGTATAGACCCCAAGAAGGTACCCCCTGTTTTCGGAAACTCCCAATGTAGGTCCTGAAATGCAACCTCCTACGTGCAGGGCAGTACGGAGCACTCAATGTGTCTTGCCCCAGATGGCATGGATGGAGTTCCGGTGAGCCCTTTCCAATGAGCAGAGCGATCCTTGCCGGTGGTTTAGGGTTTAGGGTTTAGGGTTTAGGGTTTAGGGTTTAGGGTTTAGGGTTTAGGAGACGGAAAGTGTAACGCGTCGCAGGTTTTGCTTCTTGGCGGTGGTCCCACGACCTACCGGCAGCTTGATCTCAGTCGAATGGCGGCTCGAGGGTTTCAGGGCTTGAGGGGTTTTGGGGGGGGGGGGTGTTCAGGTCAAAGAGGGTTTAGAGGTTCAGGGTTTAGTTAGGGCTTTAGTGCGTTCGGGCTTCAGGCTTGTGAGATGGGGGCAGTTACGCAGAGCACGGGAAATCCCCACAACTCCTCCCTCAAGGACCCTGAAACCGGGAGAAGTTCAGAGCCGTTGTTGGGTAGGGTTGTCCCAAGGTCTCCCGCCAAGATCCCAAAGGGAGTGCCACATTTTGGATTTTGGGGTTTTAGGGTTCAGGGCTTTAGGGTTTAGGATTTAGGGTTTAGGGTTTAGGGTTTTTTGGGGTTTTTTGGGGTTTTAGGGTTCAGGGTTTAGGATTTAGGGTTGAAGGGTTCAAGGGTTTAAGGGTTTCAGGGTTAGCTTGACGAAGCCTTCGAGGTGGACGTCCTTCACACAGCGCGGCCGCCAGCTCGCCCGCGGTCTCCGGCACCTGGGAGCGCGAGGCGGGGGGGGGTTCCTCAGATTGGTATGATACTGTAGTAGTATACTATATTATACTGTATCATACTGTATTATACTGCATTATACTGTATACTGTATACTGTATTGTACCGATAATACTGTATTATACTACACTACACTATATGATACTATGTTTAGCTATACTAGACTATATTATTCTATATTCTACTTGCATTATTTCGATGGGTTGAGCGCGTTGCCATATAGTGCCCCTAATGTGTAGGGCAAGCGGGGGTAGGTAGATGTTGCCGTGTTGGGGGGGTGGGGGAGGGGAAAGGGCACACAAAGCCAGAGCCCAGGGGCCGATGCTGCAGTCCTCTCCTGCTCACTTCTTGGAGTTTCATGGTACTTAAGAACGCAATTATAACCCTAAACCCTAAACCTTGAAAGACCCTATGCCCTGAACCCTAGACCTTGAACAGAGAAAGACAAAGAGAAGGAGGGTAGAAACCGGGCACCCGCCCTTGTGTTAAACGTACTTGCATCCAAACTCTTATCAGACCCTAAGCCCTAAATTTTAACCCCTAAGCCAGAACAGGCATGATTTTCCTTAATGCCTGAACGCTTTCACTCTTTATTCTGTTTTCATTCATTTCCATTTATAATATCGTCATAAGATAATTTCGAGACGGCGGTTCCACAATAGTTTCATGTTTTCTGTCAATATCCATCAAAAAATATTACGCCTCAGTGATTGTGCTGAGTTTGCTCTGACAAACTCCTGTGGTGAAGTAGCCTGCAGTGCTCTGTGGGAGCCCCCGCCTCTGCATGCCTCGAAGTCTCACGCTACAGTTCATGGCCATGAGTTGCAGGGACTGCAATCTCTGCGACGCCACCTGCACCAGCTCCTTCAACATCCCGGTGATACCCCTCTCCGCTCATCCATCCTTCGGTCCTGTCGGGTGTCCGGAGCAAAATACCTGACTTGCCCTTTTTTCCGAACCCTATGTGCATCGCTTGTTTGGCCCCCAG